GTACTTTATTATTCTGACACTACACTAACGCTAAATGCAGACTACTCATTAAGTAGTTGCCGTCATTGGTTTGATTGCTAAGCATGGATTCTTTTTCGCCGTCGTCTATTAAAATGTTCTCTTTTTACGTGAAATAACCCCATAATTTTCCTTTCACAAAGAATCATGTTGACTCTAAAAAAATTCATGCGGAATATAATTTTGTTGAATGAGAAAAATTGGATTTTCGTCCTCTAGGATGTTCACAGAGAAAAGCTAAAGCTTTTGCAGAACGTTACCACCTTCATTCACTGCCTTGACAGTTTAGATCGTAAAGAGAATTGCCATCTCATTAGTAGGCTGCTGATAGAAAGGACGTTCTGGCATTGGTTTATCCTTGTCTATATTTTTGGAAAAAAAGTCTAATTCAATCTAGGCTTGGAGGGCCTCTTCAAGAGATGACCCTGATTTAGACGGCAGTTCGACAACCAGAAGCTTTTTCAGGGCCAGGGCACAACGAAACTGTAGAAGATTAACGAAGACGGTACATCAATGTCGACTTCATGAAGAATGAAATTCTGAGTGCAATATAACTCCTATTTCGTTCCGTCCTAATAGAAATATCGAAATCATTCTCAGACAAACCAACAATTCCTCCACAACCTTAATGTGGAGTTGGAAAGTGGGTTATGATCGAGGTGTTTCAATGAGGACAACGCAACCTGTAAAGATTTGCCTCAATTTGAATGGCCGGCCACGTTTGTCAAAGAAGCTCTAAAGGGCGGGCATGAGCTATGCGAAGAGTTGTGCAGACGTCACTTGAAGTGAGCATTCAGCCCGAGTATTCGGCTAGCACCTCTAATTGATGGATCATGACGGAATGGGTTCCTCTTCAACCCATCCCAAACCACGATCGACAAATATGCAAGCCAGCACACTCCACTCTCTCCTGCATGCACCTACAAAACTTTTTGAGGTAGATGGTCAAAGAAAATGTGACGAAGAAGACGGTGACAAAGTAGTTATACCGATGTTGAAGAGATCGTCCTCGTGGTATTTCGAGATTTATTGAGTCTAAAGCTAGCTACTCAACGCCAACTGCTATGCAGATCACCTCTACGAGCTCACTGCTCATAAATGGAGCGCGATCGAAACGATATATTTTGCACAATAACACTTGTGCTCACACATATATGTGGCATTCGTGGAATCTTAATGGAATGACCCAACGAGAACTTCTAGAATCGATATTTACGCTCATTTGTGCAAATTGAATTATTTATACACACTAATTACGACGACCACAGAGCAAGAAAGATTATTTACGTTTCCTGGCAGAAACACATAGAAGCAGGAAACTATCAATCCAGCCTCGAGGAAACCACTAAGTTAAGAGAAAAGTTCAGTACATTGAGGAACGAGTTTCACTAAGTTTGTCCTTTTTTACTATGTCAATATAAACGCAGTTAAGAACGAATATCACTAACGCTATTTATTACGATGGTGTTCGTTGAATGCATAGGAGCTGCGGCACGTGTAACGCAGTGGTTAGCAGTGGTCTACAAGCGTGCGAAATGCGCCACTGGTTCGATCCAGTGTCCTACGCTCCCCAAGCCTTCCATCCCTTCGGGGCAGGCAAATTGGTATCAGACCTGTGTGTGACGATAGCAGCACCACTGACTCCAGACATAGTTAGGCTGTCAAAGTCATTGCATCGGCCAGATATTTATTCAACGACTTCTGACGATGCTAGATGAAGTCGATGCATGTCGCATCTCTCAGCGTTTGATCAACGCCGACCTTTTTTCCTTCTGAATGGTGCACACAAGGAGATCTCATATTTACCTTGCAGATTATTTTTCCACAATTAATCAACCAAAAGAACTGTAATAGGTGAAAAAAAAACAATTGAAGCATGAGATAAATAGATGTTCATAGAAATATCCGCTATATAAAAAGTGGTAAGTGGGAATCTTTAATGATGTGTAACAGAATGAGTTTAACAGATAATTCAAAACCATTAGCTAACATACATCAACATCATCGTATTAGTGCAATAATGAGCGAAGACGAATAGGAAATCGCTTAAGCACGGATTAGGATAAGTCGGCAGTGTTATGAAGCTTGTAGGGCATCACAAGTGTCCATTAGATTATCTTCGTTTGGGATCAGCCACGATCTCAAGTTTGTTTTTTTTCACAGAACTCAAGATGGAAGCGTTAAATTCAGATGAATTGAATGAAACAGCACTGGTGCACATACTCTGCACCGTTCAATACTAACATCGCATCCGACAACTCATTCATCATCATCTTGGATTCGACCAAATGATGTGCCCACGTGCTAGAATTAGAGCATTTTTTAACAATTTTTTTGCATGACCCCTCATAATATCTACTATGCGGATTCCAGCACTTCTTGCATTTGATTCCTTTTCTTCGCAGTCATTTCATCGTCCACAATGGTCTTCGGACATTTCGCGTATTGTTTCGGCTGCTGCTTGAGGATTTCGTCTTCTGATACCACGTAATGCTGGTTGAGGCGATTCTCCATGCAATCTTGGATATAGCCGTGCTAACCCCTTCCCACGTGGAGTGGAGAAAAGCGTTGTGGTGGGGATCGAACCAGAGCTTCCTTTCATAATGGACTGCAGCACTCGCTGTTGCTCTACTTGCTGTCCCCATTAATTAGAGCGTTGGTTAAACATTTCCATTCTAGTGACCATAAAGTAACGATAAAATTTCAGAGACAAAAATAATATACCTATATGTCAGAGAGTGAAGGGGCGGGTAGCACAGTTGCAATGGTCTCCGTCATCACGAGCAAGGTGCTAGTTCGACTACGCTCTACGCCAACCAAGCCACTCTTCCCTCCAAGGTCGGGAAATTGGTGCCGGACTTCTCTGGGAAAAAAATCAATATCTGCAATACAATTAGGAACTTTTCAGCCCAGCTATCTCAGGACTCCAGGGAGAATTACTCGACCAGCATTCTACCGCATTCAAGATGAAAAGAAAATCCTCAAGCAGCAACCGAAGCCACACGTAAAGTTGAAAGATCTTCGCGGATGATGGATGCGAGGAAACGAATTGGATGTGAGAAGTGATGGGATCCGCACAGTAGACGTGAAGACTGATCAAATAAAATAAAATAAAAAAATTTATGACGGTGTCCCAGTTAAATATTAACTGCGAAGGGAAATCGATAATTAGCATTCGCATTTCATACAGAATCACAATTGACATACCCATTAGCTGGAGTCATCGAAGAGGTAAAGTTCTCATATGGCCAAGGCTTCAAACCGATGACATATGTGGTTGAAAAGCTGTAGTAGCACTTCTTTTCGCAGAATCCTAAAGTTACAAACAACTATACAATTAAGTACAAGCAGACTGTAAATTTCTCGAAAGGCTTTCTGTAGCAAAGATGTAAAGGTGCTTGCTACTTATGTGAACCAATCACAGCTAATAGTCGGTACGAGTTCATCATCCACGAAACGCTCTATCTGCACGAACAACCGCACTGCTGAGAGCACATGGAAATCCTTTGAAACTTATGTTTAGTCTGTCTCTGTATTCCTTTTGCACACGCGTTCCATAGAATAACTATTGTTCACAATAGGGATTAAAATTGAAATAACAGGCAACTGCCAGTCAAACTACCGATCAATAAACTTCTCCGAAAGTGGTTTTATTTCTAAAAGTGACTAAGCGTAAGGAAGAGCATTTCACGAGCCACTGATTTCATAGCAGTCCGGTGAACAAGAGATCGATCCACTTCGTCCTCCAACGGATGCATAACATAAAGTGCATCCTGGGTGGAACTGCACTAAAATCAGACAGGACAGGACTTGAGGCTTTCATAGACGTTGTCACCTTCATGAATTAGTTGCGAATTTAGCAGTTAAGAGTAGAGACAACAGTGTCAACCACGGAACATGGTTCGATCAGTCAATACCCATTGATTGTATTGCTGTCATTAACGGCCGAGCGTGATAGGATTTAGAAAGCTTTGCAAAGTTTTCCCTCTTTATGCCACACATTCTGCGCAGTCGACATCCCAATCAGCTGGCTACAGCGAAATTCGACCGATGAGGCTCTAGTTAAAATTGGTTTTCGGTCAACACTCAGTTGAATTCCCACTTTTGAGTGTCTTTATTTTCACAAAACATTAAGACTCAGCAACTAACTATTTATCCTTTAATGGATAACTCAAAAAAGTGACTTTGTCTCACCGGTTTTATTCAACTGTTATATTTAGTCGGCAGGCAGGTTAAAGATGCCGCGCAATATTACACAGATGTCACTGTTTCGACCAGCCCGGCACTCTTGGAAAGTGAATATACAACCAGTTTAAGAAGCTTTCTCCGATCGTAAAACGCTAGTGACCAGCTGTGTTGAAGTGCTGGGAGCGCTCAACACGACTCTCTTAGGACTCGAGCGAAAATCTACCTGGCTAGAATTTAACAGCGCTTATCAAGAAAACCACTTCTTTAAGCGGCAGTGAAATTCACACTGAATTCCAAAGAGCTTCAGGGAGAACAGATGCAAGGAGACGTAACAAGCGAAAGAAGTGCCTAAATTCGTTTAATCCACAAAGCCGAGTCATTAAAGAAATAAATAAATCTTGCTTCTGGAAGAAAAAATGCTCAAAAGCTCTTATCTTATTGCGCCTCCGGTCAAAGGTTGCTTTTTTGTCCAGTTCAACCTTATCTGTTTGTACGCAGTTTTCACGCATTGATTTGACGGGCGCGCACACAACGTGATGAATCTCGACCAGATTTTCAGGTTTGTTCATTCGTCAAGTGTTTTTCTATTTTATTCAGAGCTCTGAAAAAAAGATTAATTAGTACTGGGTTTTTATTAGACTTCGAAATAATGTGCATTTGCTGAACCTTCAGGAATCTCGATGATGTTGTCAGAGAAAACGACTAACAAAACTGTTCCTTTTTTCCAGAGTTGATTTACATACTAAATTTTACCTTTTAGAGATATTGATGCCTCCTATGATCACTACAAGGCCATGCTGGCCGAAGCCGTCGCTATAGAAAGCGTTTCTGGAGATCCAAGTAAACGTTCTCAAACTATCGAGATGGTGCACTGGATCAAGTCAGACAAAATATTTATTTTATAATTTTTCCTATTTGAACAGGGATGTGTAGTAAGACATCGGGACGTGTAATAGTGTTGGAGTAGCTTAGTAGTAGCAAGTCTTTGCTTTTGAAGGGAACGTCTAGAGGAACTTGGAGCGCGATGCACTTTGGAGCATTTGGGAAATCAGACCACTGACGGAAAACAGGTAACGGAAAATGTTTCTTTGATCAATTTCTTGTTGTACTAATAGGCTAACATGACGCGATTATAAAACTATGGATAACATTGCGGCCTCTTTGCTATCTTCGACTTCTGCAAAAATTCGTTTGCTGATCCATTCAACTGGATTCGAGTCGGTGCGACGCCGAAGACCCACTTTGGAAGCTCTAACGGCTGTGGACACTCGACTTGAATCATCGCTGCTCTAAAGAAGACGAAGTCGCAGAGGCCTTAGCTAAAATAATGTCTTGCAGCAATATCGCTTTAACCTATCAATGTGCCAATATGATAATCATTCATATCTATGTCAAATCAAAGTCCGATTTCAAAAGTTTCTAGAACTCCTTTTTTTTACACATATCGTTTGAAGCTTTTTATTTAAAATAATTGTAGAACATCGCCCACGAAAAACTGCTCATTAAAGCTTCTAAGAGGAGTCTCAGCGTTGAGACAGAAAGGATTAAGAAGACCCTTAAGTACATGTAGCGCATTCTTGTACATTTATTAAAATTCATTATGCCAATGTATGAAGGCGAAGATACAAAACTTCGTAAAACTTTACACTTATAATCGGTGAACATAGCGCATTGGATGCATGGAGAAGAAGCGAGTAGCTTGTGGAAATGGATTTGGGTTTCGAAATGACTTTTGCAACTGTACGTACGATACCTAATGAGGAACCAATTGAGGGCATTCGGTTCAGATAGCGCTGCCACCTGCACTCTTAGGCCAACTTGGCGACGACAAGAAGAAGAAGACGGTTTTGGTATATGGTCACTTGGGTCAGTTTCTTGGTTCAATGAGACATAATTTCCGGGCAATTTTCTAGGAAGTGTTTTCCAGATGTGCAACCAGCAGCGAAGGAGGACGGGTGGAATACGGAACCATTTGTATTAACAGAAATTGGTCCGTACAACTGGAAGCGTTAATTTATTTGACTAAGGCAATCCACTGTTTATAGCACGCGAATTAATTCTATATAAACGGAATCGAAAGAATTTGTAGCAGAGCTGCCATTTTAGTAAACTAGTCTACTTCAATAAGCTATTGATAGAGCGATGTTTTTCTTTCTTTAACTAGTCTGAATCAAAACGCTTACTCCTCTAGATAACAAATTGTTCGGGCGTGGTGCGTCCGATGACAAGGGACCAGTCCTGTGCTGGATCCACGCAGTTGAGATGCTCCATAAACACAAAGTAGAAATTCCTATCAACATCAAGGTGGGCGGCGATTCTCACTTTGCGTTGCATAGAAAATTGAAAAGGAGAAAAGAGAAATACATCAAACTAACGATGCATTGAAGAAGTTAAACACGAAGAAGTGAAAATATCGAGAGAATGGCTTGTCATTTGGTTTGCATGAAAACTTTAGAGCTGTATTTAACAAATTCGTGAAGATGCCTAATTTTTCGCCTCTCTCGCGGTGACTACATTAGGAAACATGCCGACCACAGTGTGACCCCACGTAGGACTCAGTATAAGATTAAATCGCCGCGAAGTCATCGAAGATGAATTATTGTGAGCTAGAATACACCATCAACAGAGCTTACGTTTCTTTTCAAATTTTTTCTACCACCTTGGAAAGAAACACCTCACATGCTACAAATTGTAGTATACCTGTATATACGTTCTTACGGACCACCTTTTCTTAGCCGACGAGAGGTTGGTAAGAATTCTTACGATTGTTGTTCTTTTTGTTCAATGGCTGACGTTTCGGCGACTTCGCTTTCCTCAGAGCCTTGCCGTTGGACCACCTGTGTGCTGAGGGGACTGAGGGACTGACCACTATGAGGTGACTCACAACGACCATATGCGACTCTAATCAGCTGTTCTTCTTCAGTTGAAAGCATGCAATAAACGGCTCTGAAGAAAGCGATGCTGTCGAAACTTCAGCTTCAACGGAATAAAAAGTAAACTAACACTTCGCGTTTCCTCAACAAGAATATCGAGAACTATCTCAATTCCAAGGTTAACAGAAAGTCGGTCATGAGAGTTGCCCGTAACTTTTCTTCTTCTTCTAAATCCTGTAACAAATTCAACTTCTAGAGTTTTGTTAAAATTAAAATATTACAGTTCTGCTTTGAAGCGATGGAAGAAAGTGGATCAGTTGGTTTAGAAGAAATGCTAGAAAAAAATAAGAATAAATTCCTCTCTGACGTGGACTTTACGTGCATCTCGGACAGTTATTGGTTGGGAAAGACAAAACCCTGCCTCACACATGGCCTAAGGTATGCTCCTTTTCATTCTTTCTGTGTAGAAAACGTATTCACTTTATAACTAGGGCAGAGATTTAACAAAATCGGTGCAGAGGCGTCAAAAATCCAAAAGCATTCTTAGCTCCGCTGAGCAAAAATGCAATTTGTCATGGAAGAAAGCGAAAAGGATGAACATTCATTAACGAATGATAGTGATGAAACGGTCAGAATGTAATCAAAGTATTTTTTAGAGGCATTTGTTCGTTCAAAGTGGAAGTAACAGGAATTCAACAAGATCTGCATTCTGGTGTTTACGGAGGCATTATGTGAGTTTCAATCGCCAATTATATTTCCTCTACTAGAAAAGCCAACGACATAGTCGATTTCACTTTGCTAAATATTCACACTGTGAGCCCTGGTTTCAGACATGAACCGCTTGCCGACCTCTTGTGGGTGATGTCCCAGTTAACCTCGGTGGATAACAGGATTCTAATTCCTGGTTAAGATTCTAATACTTTGATTATCGCATTGTCTTCAACAATTTGCTTCATCTTAGACAGTCAAATCTAGGAATCTATGACGATCTTGCTCCAATGACGAACGAAGAGAGCGCTCTTTACGACAAAATCGACTTCAATGTTCAGGAGTTCTGTGAGAGTATTGGGGCGAAAAAATTGCCTACAGAAGACAAGAAAACGTTGCTTGTTAGACGCTGGCGAGAACCCTGGTATACAGATAGTTTATAGTACCCAAAGCACATTTCCTAGAGAATGAAACTTGTAGTCTGTCGATTCACGGAATTGAGGGGGCGTTCTCAGGAGCTGGCGAAAAGACCGTTATTCCGTCTAGGGTCGTCGGGAAATTCTCTATCAGGATTGTGCCTAATATGGAACCTGGAAAAGTTGGTCATTTTTTCTCATAGAAAACAAATTCTTTATAGGGATTCGCAATGTTTTAGGTCAACGAGATGGTTCTCGATTTTCTAAACGAAGTCTGGAAAACTAGAGGATCTCCAAACACATTTAGGTAAGAAATCTTGGCAATCGAGGGTAATTTACTCATCAGTGCTTTCTTCAGACCTCAAGTGGGTCACCATGCGCTACCATGGGTGGCGGACACAAGTAATGAGAATTTTAATGCCGGTGCACGAGCGATGAAACTTGGTAAGAATTTTATTAAGCTAATAAATGTGTTCGGAACTGCGAGGAAACAATTTAACACCGATCTTAAGTGCACGGTGTGGATCCCGACTATATCCGTGAAGGCTGCAGCATTCCAATTACTTTGACGTTCCAAGTGAGCCTGCGCATTTTCGCTTTTCCGTCGGAATTACTTCAACTGTTGGACGCTTAATACAATTTTTAGGAGTTGACTGGCAGGAGTGTTCTGCTACTTCCACTTGGCGCCGCTGACGATATGGCGCATTCTCAAAATGAGAAGATTAACAAAGTGAACTACCTGAATGGTGTGAAAACACTCCTTTCATATCTTCTTGAACTAAGAAAGGTTTAGAGTGTAAGTAGTATCAATAGAATTAGTTAGTTCTTCCGGTTTCACTTATAAAATGTTTTATAAAGAAAGTTTGAAATTTGGACATCAATCGAGATTTTAATATGAACAATAATGATATAGTAAATAATGGATAAACAATACAAGCAGCAGCACAAACTCATCAGTTTAATAGCAACATAACATATGATATAGATAATACCGAGATAGTCTAATTCTTGGATATTTCGACGGCCCGTCTTCACAAATTGTGCGAACACCAGAACATTTTTCATTAGCTCTTTGCCTCGTAATCTTCGCCCATGCTCTACCAACTGTGCTAACGAGGTCCACATACCTACCCAATCATGGTACCTGCACAAAGCCAATCTTAAGCATAAAGCAATCGAAATCACGAAATACCTACCTTCTATTGGCCCAGAATAACTCGATCTGATTTAATTCGCTCATGGTAGGGTAATGCGAGTCTCATAACGTGATCTGTAGAACAACCGTAGCTGCGAATGCCTACTTTGTGTTAGAATACTTTTTCTTATTCGGTGGAAAAGAAGGTTAAAGTATTAATGAAGATCAAACTTTCAAATAGACGCCATATTGAACAGAAAGGTCACTCACCGTAATGTTATGTGCGGGACTGGCCGACACGTAGTTTACGCGAGCAAGACACGCCCCGGGGTCAAAATATCATTTTGAAATAGGGGGCCCGGTCACGCGTGATAGTGAGACATTCGTCCTTCCGGTTCATCTTTGGATTTTTGAAATTTATCCAAAACGCCTCAAGAGTTTTGCGCGTTGATGTTTTTGATTCCTGCGCTAGGATCCGCACATTCACTTCAAAATCATCGCCGTTGTGCTTTTGTGTCCTATGCGTACCTAGAGGGGTGTTTAAACGGATTTTAGCTTTCCCATCTAGATGTTCTTTTATGCGGACACAAAGTGGTCTACCCGTTTCCCCGACATATTCCTCGCCGCATGCATTACATGAGATCAAGTATATTATACCTAAACTCATTCAATCTCCGTCTCTCCCGTTAGGACAGATCATAAAGTTTTCTGAGCTGCACAAACGATCATAGAGACGGTTTCGAACTAACTGTGGGATGTCAATAATCGTTACACAATTTTCAAGACCACTTTTGCCAAGTTTTGCGATTCCTTCCTTTCCTCTTCTCCTGTACACACATTTTTAGCGGTAGGTACATGTTTTTGGTAAGTGCTTTTTTAATGAGTGATGGATGAGAGGAGTGGCAGGTGAACTAGAATGTTTTTATAACTTGTCTTACGATGTCATTTTGTTATATTGCCACTTACTGAGAGCTTTATTTGGATGTTTAAGAATGGAAGCCAGTTTTTGGTTGGTTTTTCTCGCGTAAATTTTATATACTCTGACTGCCGGTTTAATAATTCAAAGCACTCATCCATCTGTTCTTGTGTGGAAGAGACGATGAAGCAGTCGTCTATGTATCGAAAGTAGAGTAAAGGTCGGTGATCGAGAACTGGAGCTTCCACCTCTGTGCGAATTAGAATTAGAATTACAAGATCTACGGTTTCTCGAAAAAACCACCGCTTTTTTCACCTGTCTTCCTCCGAGGAAGAACAGGCGCTCAGAGTCGCAAATGGTTGACGATTCTACCACCCTTAATCAACGATCGATACGAAGGTAGGAGGCGAGATCACGCGTTTATTGGGATTTTTGGCATCAATCCAAAAAGCCTCGAGGAGCTTGCGCGTTGGTGCTTTAGGATGGCAAACAAAAAACAAAAGAAGGCACGCCACTAGGAACGCATAGGATACAAAAGCATAGCGGAGACGTTTTTGATATGTGAGTAAATCTTTTTGCAACATAAGATTTCTGAACCATCCACTAGCATTGTCGGCTCTGAGCAAGATGAAAACGTCGAGATATCATCAGAATAAATCCTTTTATCAACACTGTGTCAGCTTACCAATGAAAGGCTACATGTAAGAACTACTCTCTGAGAATTCAGAAAAAGAATCTTTCTTTTGGAAGTTCTTTGTTTTTTAATCGCCTTCATTCGAGAAGTGACAGATATTTTTTCGTTACTTCTGCGTTCCTGTTCATTGTTTTAGTCAAATTTTGCCTTCAACTAGATTAGTAAGTTTTACTTTGCGGTCATTCAATCATTTACGCGACCTCTATATTTTTTCCTATTCGAGCCCAGTTTGGGGATTATGGTTTCTCTGTGCTCTGTGTGAGGGGGGTCCCGCGCCAGGAAATCGCTCAAAACCGCGTTTAAACCGGAAAAAGCCAAAAATGACGGCAAGCACGGTTTACTGTAGCCGCGCACGAGTTACCCGCGGAAGACGAGGAAAACGCGATTTTCAGGGCCGACGCTATATTCAGCCGGCTGTCAATACAAGCGGGCGGTTACTGTAGTGCGGACGAGTTTTCCAGGCGCGAGTCGGAAAATCGTTGAAACAACGGGAAAACGCGACAAAATGTTGCACTGGGCTTTGGACTGAGTCTTAGCGAGGAGGGGAAATCGCACGTGGCGACAAAGTTGCGCAATTTGATCTACTCAACGGAAGCTCCTTAAAGTCGCCGAATCCTCTAAGAACGCAAAAAAAAGTGAAAAACGAGCAAAATCGTAAACGTGCAAAAACGCGAAAAATGCCGAAATCTCGTAAAGTCCTTTTTGCAACTTTTTTCAAACTAGCTACATCTGCAATCGTATTCCTCATGTTCTTCAACACTTCAGCAAGGTAATCACTGATGTATTAACTCACATGTATTATTTCAATAATCTACGGTATGAAAACCGCTTTTTTCTTCAGCATAATTTTCTGTACAAAGCTATGAAGATTAAATGACAAGTGAAAATGTTTCGCTAGGCCGGCCGAGAAGTTTCCATTTCACTGAATTGTTTATAGAACGTGGAAATGGAGAGCTTGGCCAGTTAACTCTCTTATAGATCTCCACTGGATCCTCACAGCGACAAGCGAGAATGGCGCGCGTAATCTGAAATGGATAAAGTGGATGAGAATGCCGGTTTCGTTCAGCTTATCTCGATCTCGTAGCTTCCTATAGGAGCAATGCGAAGCAACTTAATTCCTACAGTCAGGAATTATGGTAAAATGACTATATTATTTTCGTTGTAAACGCAGCTTTGCCACATATGACCACGGATCTCCCTCATACGAGCGATCTCGAGCCGGTTAATCGCGAGGCTACGTGGCGCGTCCCCAGGTGGCGGATAGGGGGTTAATCGCTGACCAAAAGCGACCTTTGCTTCACTGAGATGCAGATGAATCCAGGGGATGGATTCTCTGTTTCTACTGCGCCGATTTGGCACATTACTTCCTGTATTTGCTAAGTGTATTCATGCATGTGTGTGGGTGCGTTCTCGCTTATGCGGATTTTATCCTACGAGTCAATTCGGCCAAAAGTCTGCAATCAAGTCACAGGGAAGTATATGGGAGGCGGTTAAGAGTCGCCTCTAACAAACAGGCTCCATGTCCACTCTGGGAAGGACTGGCAAGCTACCCGTAAGTATGCCCAATCTCGAAGTTCAGAGCCCAGCAAGTTCTATGTGGGTATCAAAATGCTAAACACAGTAAAAAAAACGGACCTCATTCTCCTGATTCTGAAAGAGTCTCCAATTTTGCAGCGTTGGGTAGGACGAGTACGGAGAGGCTGCTAAAATCTCAGGGCCAAGGAAAGCTGCCTAGATTTCAAAGAACTATGGAGACAATCTGTACCTACAATGCACGTACACTTGCATTCGAGTCCTCGATAGAAGACTTGTTCATGCAAGTAAGAAGGATTAGGTACGTCATCGGCCTGGCCGAGACGAGAAGACGCCAGCCTTTCAACGCCGTAAATGACACCGGAGAAGAACTGTTCCTCTGAACATGCGGCAGTTGAGGAGTCAGCGGCATCGGCGTTCTCGTCAACGCGAGTTGGTCCATCAACATCGAGTGATTCGAACAGCTTACGACCCGAATTGAACGTTTACGATTAAAAAGTATGGATCAATACCGGTTTTGACAATCCTTGTTGTTTACGCTCTGGCATCAAACTATGACGAAGAAGAAGTCGAAGCGTTCTATTTGGACTTGGAGAAGTTCTACAGGGAAGACCATACATTCTTCAAGGTTATCCTTGGAGATTTCAACGCCAAGGTTGGACCAAGAAGAAAGTCTGAAGGACGTCACATTGAGACTCACGAATTAGAATGAAACGAACAAGGTAAGCGGCTGTCTGAGTTCATCATGGCGACAAGACAATCCATGGTAACTCGCAATTCCAGAAGCCCCACCTTAAGCGATGGACGTGGGAGTCTCCCAATTGAGACTTCCATAGCGAAATAGACCACACCGTAGTAAATTGAAGGTTTTGCCTAACGGATGTCGCTGTTGTCCTAAAATTCTACACGGGATCAGACCATCGTGCCCTTAGTGCAAGATTCCATTTCTTGCGGAAAGGAGAAAAAGCCGCTAAATTTCGAAACTGAAGTCCCAGAACCACCGCAAACTGGGACTTATTCAATTCGTTAGTCGGCTTTTGGTAAGATGCCGTTGTCGATAACAACGACGAAGAATACGATCGGCTCATTCAACATCTTCACGTTATCGTTATGAAAGTTCAGAGTTCGAAAGTCACCAAGAGACGTCTGTCTCCGGAAACACTCGAGGTGATACGCCAGCGTGGAATCACACGAGCTTCAGGCAACCGCGAACTAACGTCCGAGCTTGACAAAACAATGCAGACAGGCGATAAAAGAAGACCTTACATAGAGAAGAGCAGCAGTAATGGCCGAAGCTGCATAGAAGGGAATAGCATTCGCAAAGCCCACCGAAGCTTCGCCAATTACAAGACCAAAATAATTGCTCCCTGGCTCTCAGACAGTTACAGCGTCCAGAAAGGCAATGGGGAAAATCATTCACGAATACTACTCGAATCTCTACGATAGCCACGTCCACCTTCCGTCATATGAAATAAAAGAGGATAGATATGTTGTACCACCGGCTCTCCCTTTGGA